GCACTATGCCATCAGAGCTCCCCTTCTGTAGGATATATACCTAATAATGGGATTGCTGAATCAAATGGTATTTCTATTTCCAAACACTTTAATGAGGAGTTTTGCAGCAAATTTTCCCAGTGCAATATAACGTCTGATTTCCTGACTGCCGCTTCCATGGATGTTAACATCAGACAATGTTTCACAGCTATTCATAAAGTTTTCCAACAAGATATCAGCTAGTGTTTTACTCCTATTCATAAGGTTTCAGTGGCCAGTTTTTTTAGAAGTGGATGGCCCCATCCCTCTTCTTGGTCTGTTATTATCTGGCAGCATCGTTGAAACCTGTCTACCGTGGGTGACCCTGCTGTTATTTGAAATACTGGTGGCAGAGCCTCCAGCCTCATAGCAACATATAAGCCACCACAGTACCGCAAACGCACAGAGGAGTGATGGTGGTTGTTAGTTGCTGTCACGTCAGCCCTGACTCACAGGAAGAATAACAACCAAACGTTGCCTGGTCCTGTACCACCTACACCATGTTTGGGCTGCTCGAGTCCATTGCTGTCACCACTTTGTATTTTGAGCGCCTTCCAACATAGGGGGCTCATCATCCATCACTGTATGGGACAACATTCTTTTGTGACCTGTAAGTGGGCTGATTTTCAGAAGTAGATTGCCACGCCTTTCTTCCTGGTCTTAGTCTGGATGCTCTGCTGAAACCTGTCCACCATCAGTGACCCTGCTGGTATTGGAAATACTGGTAGCATTGCTTCCAGCATCATAGCAACACACAAGTCACCGCAGCATGACAAACTGACAGACAGGTGACAGATATGATCATAAAGTTATGTAATTAATTTTTTTTTCAAATAGCTGTGTTTAGCTACTGGCTCACAAAATTCTTGAAAATTTGAAAACTAGCTCTTGTGAGCTGGTATACACTGCCTCTAACACAACTCTGTATAAATCTTAACCCACTGAAATCTGGCTTCTACCTCCACCATTCAACCAAAACCCGTTTTTGTTCCCGTTACTATGGGATGTCCATATTACAAAATGCAAAGGACAACAGACATGGTTTTGTCCTTGCCGTGGCTGACCTCTTTGCAGCAGGCAGCATTGCTGATTCCACCTGCCTTTTCAAAAGGCCCTCCAGGACCACTTCCTACTTCTTGTCCAGTCCTGCCTCGTCTCCTATAAGGGCTCTTCTTCCCCCACCTTCTCTTTTGCTTTTTGATCTGCTTCAACACACTCTCCCTGCACACCCTTGTCCATCTCCATGATTTTAGCTGCAACCAAGAAGTCATCTGTCTAGTCCACCTCTCGGCAGCAAACCTAACTAGTTTTCCCCTCTTGGAGGTTCCACAGAAATCTCTAACAAAGCCAGAGTGGAAGTCCTCACTCCCTAACTCCATCAGCCCATATCACCCTTTTATAATGCAAAAGCTTTCGACAATATGGCAAACACACCATACAACCAAACAACTTGCCCACCGGCCAAGGCCTCTTGCATGAACCTTGTGGAACTCAGGTTGCACGGCCATGTCAAAGTAGTGCCACTTGGTGACCGCATTCTCCAAATGGAAAATAGTATCCCAGGTGCAGAAATGACAAAGACCTTAAGTGCTTCAAGGCAAGTGTGGTAGTTAAGGTTGTGTGTCAACTTGCCCGGGCTGTGGGTATGAGTGGCTGTGCTGGATGTAGTTATTCCCCGTGATGAGACTGTAATCACCTGCATGGTGGAATCTGCTGGGAGCAGCTAAGGAGTGGCCTTTGGAGGTGTGGCCTACTTCCAGGATATAAAGAGAGGCTTTGAGATGGTCTCTAGCTTTTTGGCATGTTTGGATCCTGCATTTGGCTGAGTCTTTATCCAGTGGCCTGCCATGTGCCTATGGATCTTGGGACTGTACCATTCTAGTTGCTGCCCTTGGCTTTGTCAGCCTCAGCAGCCAGCAGCTGCATGAGCTATGAGAAGCCTCGAGCTCCAGTGAGCCTGGAATAAGAGCCAGAGCTGAAGCCCAAGGTTGCAGGGCCTTTACCTGGCCCCTAGAGCTGGGACTCTGAATTCAGACTTCTAGCCTCCTAAACTATAAAAGAATAAATTCCTGTTTGTTAAAGCCACCCACTGGTGGTATTTCTATTATAGAAGCACTAGAGAACCAAGGGGAGCTCTGGTAGCATAGTGGCTAAGACACTTGCCTGCTAACCAGACGGCTGGTGGTTCAAACCCACCAGCCACTCCTCGGAAAGAAGGTTGGGCAATCCTACTCCCGTAGTGATACTGCCTCGGAAACCCAAGGAGGGGTCGCTATGAGTCGGGTTTGACTCGACGGCACGTAACAACAACAACAACAGAGAACCAAGAGGAGCTCTGGTAGTATAGTGCCTAAGGCACTTGACTGCTAACTAAAAGGCTGGCAGTTCAAACCCACCAGCCACTCCTTGGAAAGAAGGTTGGGCAATCCTACTCCCGTAGTGATACTGCCTTGGAAACCCAAGGAGGGGTCACTATGAGTCAGGTCTGACTCAAAGGCACATAACAACAACAGAGAACCAAGACAGCAAAGTCATGTCAATTCACACAAAAAATTGATGGGACCTGCTCCCAGCCAGGTCTCAGCTTCCATTTCTAGTTTAGGGCTTCAATCAACAGGATCCTTCCCAAAGTATTGTGCAAGGGTGGATGCATTCACTCTAACTCTTGGAGAACCTCACTTGCCACTTTCTCACCTACTCACAAAGGTTCAAGGATATATCCTGTGGCTTGTGCCCAACTATCTACCAGGGCACCACTAAGGAAAGCTTGATGCTGTTGGTCTGGCCGATTCTGTCAGTTATTGTCATGTCCAACAGTCAGAATCCATCATCAGTGTCAGCCTAGTCAGCCAGTCAGCCCTTCAGGCAGTCAGTCAGGGGCTGTCAGTCAATCAGAGACTAACAGTCAGTTAATCAGTCAGCCAATCAGAGCCAGAGTCAGTCAGAGTTGGTTATGACCAGTCTTTCAGTCAGTCAGACAGGTGGACAGTCAGTCACTCTGATTCACTGACTTCAGTCAAGAGTCAACTAGCACCCTTACTTGGTGTCAGTCAGGGTCAGTCCTTTAGTCAATCAGTCAGACAGTCAGACACTGGAAAGGCAAGGTCAGAATCAGTCAGTTGACCTGTCAGTTGTTGTCAGTTTATTTTTGGCATTAGCTGCCATCAAGTTGGCCCCTGACTCATGGTGACCCCATGCACAATGGGATCGGACTATTGTGATCCAGAAGGTTCTCATTGGCTGATTTTCAGAAGTCAATTACCAGGCCTTTCTTCCTAGTCCATCTTAGTCTGGAAGCTCCACAGAAACCTGGTCAGCATCATAGTAACATGCAAGCCTTCACAGACAGATGAGTGGTGGCTGTAATGTCAGTCTAATCAGCAGTCACACAGGCAGTCTGTGGAAATCAGTCCTTTAGTCAGCCAGTCGGTCAGATAGGGGAAGAGGCTGTCAGTCAGCATGTCAGTCAGCATCACTCTACTCAGCCTAAATTAGTCAGAGTGTCAGTCAATCCGTCTGTGGGTCATTGCCAGTCCAGTTAGCCATAACTTAGGGCAGTCAGTTTAGTCAGTGGTGTTCGTGTCAGTGAGGATTAGTCCTTCCACCAGTCTAGTCACGGGAACACAAGGTCAGAGTCAACCATCAGCCTGTCAGTACAGTCCTTAGGGGGTGCGCGATGCCTACCGCACTGGGTGACAGTGTCAGAGGGCGGGTGACACCAAAATGACGGTCTACATAGACTCCCGAGAAGCCGAGCCTGGTCAGAACCGAGGGACAAGCCTGGATTCCGCTGCCCCCTCTCCTCAGGGACCGTGTCTAGGCGACGCGGCGGTGACTTCCCAGCCTCTGCCCCCCAGCGGCGCCCGGGGAGTCGCGGCCCGCGCCAGACTCCGTTGGGAGTGACGGAGCCGAGTTTCAATGATTCCGGAAAGTTCCTCTGTCTGCCGCCCCCCATCTCCTGCGTCCCACGCGGGGGTCAGCGGCGGGCAGGAGGCCCAGCCCATGTGGCTGCGATCGCCGGGCCTTTCCGGCTCTCAGTGCGCAGCAGCGGCGGCTGCGCGGGCATCGAACGCTGCGCTGTGCTGCTCTGCCCGGCGCGCGGACCCCCGAGGGCAGCAAGCCGGAGCGGGAGCCGCACTCAGCGAACCTGGCGCGCGCCCGCCAGGTCGGTGCGCGGAGGGGCCGCGCAGAGCACGGGGCGGCCGGGCTTCCCGCTTCTGATTCTGTATGGTCTGCTACAGGCACAGGTCCATAGAGGGAGGTGACACAGTGACGCCACTGTGTCAGTAGAGTCAGTGGTCATTAGGTCATTCAGGCAGACGGTCAGTCGGGATCAATCCTGTCAAGTCACTCAGACGGTCCCTGAAGGACAGTCAGAACCTGTCAGTCACGGTCAGTCGCGTCATCAGGTCGCTGAGTCACTCATCAGCCGTCAGTCAGTTTGTCGGTCACGGTCAATCAGCCAGTCAGTGTGATCAGTGGGTCACTCTCAGTCAGTCACTGTTAGGAAGAGGCAGAGTCAGTCTCTGTTGGGTTGGTCCGCCGGCTAGTTAGTCAGAATCCAGCTGAGTCCGTCCTGGTGATCGGTCAGTCCGCCTGCGTGTCCCTCAGACCACCAGAACCCTGAGCAATCTGTAAGGGAATGACAGCTCCAAACTGAATCCACGCCTTCAGGCCACGTCCTCTCTCCGTCTCTCCCAACCATAGGTCTTTGCCTCACAGTAGTGCCCGCCCTCCGGGACCACATCCAGTCATAGGCCCTGTTCTTCTAAACCCTGCCCCCTAGCAGTGACCCGCCCCCTTGCAGGCCAGCTGGATGCGCCCTCACAGTCCTATCACAGACCTCTCTCTTCCAGGCCCTGCCCCTCTAAGGAGCAGTGTCCAATCAGAGGACTCTCCCTCTCCGAGACCCCCCCTCCAGGAGAGCGACACGATGACGCCATCGGGCCGCGCCGCGGAAAGGTCACACGGGATCGTCCAACATGGCGGCGGCGGCGCTGCGGGGAGGCTGGTGCCGCTGCCCGCGGGTGAGCGGACGTGCGGGCCGGCGGGGTGGGCATCTAGGGGATTCCTGGCCCGCGGCCTGCAAGGCCTCCTTCTCCTCAGATCCTTCGCCCCCGCGGCCTTACCCTGGGGTTGGGCGAAAGACTTGAGGTTGGGTCAGCCGAGGCCGGGTGGGGGGGTCCTGAGTGAGGCCTGAGGGCGGGGACCGAGCGCTTGTGGCAGGGAGTGGGAGACGTGCAGCACGACAGGAAGCAGATCGCCCCTCACCTCCTGCTTGGACCCCACGTGCTTGAGTTGGCAGCGGCCTGTTAAGAACAAGTAACGAGGGGGAAGCAAAGTGACAATCACGTCTGTCGTTTACATACCAGCTCCTCTGCCAAGAGCATTTCCTGCCTCGCCTCTCGTATCCCTCACGTGGAACTGCGGAAGGCGGTTCTCGAGTGGCCAGAAGCTTGGGCCCTTGAGTCCTTAAGGCGTTGGGAGAGGGCGTGGAGAGCTCACTCGGAATATAGCACTTGATGTTGCTGCTTGTGCCTGTTTTAGGAAACTAGCAATCTGCCCACAGGCCCGGAGCTGATGGGTGGCTCTCCAGCTCCAAAGCCCAGGCCAGTCTGAGTACAGAGGCAAACTGTTAAAACTTGTAGGCTTTCATGTGTAGAAAAAAAGGAGGTGTCTTTGACTTAGAACTAGTTTTTTCTGTTTCCTTGGCTGCTTGTCTTTTGATTGAAGGTGTAGAGGTTGAATTTACATGGATCTGGATTTAGTCACAAGAGCTTGAGGGAACCAGCCTCAAATTTCTCTTCCAGAGTAGGCAGCCATCCACTTATGTTTTGGACCATGACTGAGATCAGTGGCTCTGGGGTCTATGAGTGTAGACAGATTGAGAAATAAAACAAACTACAGTAAAATCTGTTAAGCTGGAAACTGTGTAAGGTGGAAACTTGTCAGAGAAGGAAAACTTAAAATACTTCCTACTAAAACGAGTGATAGAAAAGTGATAAGGCTGCACCTGTCAAAGGTGGAAAATTTCCACCTAGAAAAACAAGGCAGTGCCGTCAAGTTCCAGCTCTCCCGGGTTTCACTGTATTTAATTTCCCAAGAATGACTCTCACATAGCTGTAGGAGATAGTGGTTTGGCACATTCCTTGGTGTTCCCAGAGCTAGAAGTCAGGGAACATGGAGAGAAGTCCTGTTGTGAAGAACTATCGAGTGGATTCCGACCCATAGTGACTCCATGAGGTAGAGTATAACTGCCCCATGGGATTTCCTAAGCTGTCATCTTTACAGGAGCAGATCGCCAGGTCTCTCTCCTGTGGGAACCACTGGGCGAATTTGAACCACCAACCATTCAGATAGCAACCAAGCACTTAACTGTTGTACCACCACATGTGCAAATGGAAGGGTGGTTCTTTTGGATCATTTGGTGTCAGTGTGCTAGTCTTCGTGCTGGGTATAAGGTCCTTCCCTTGTGGAGCTGAAGTTCATCGTGTGGTAGAAGAAAATGCCTTTCACTTGAGGTTAGCTGGCTCTTGACCTCAAATGACTCCCCTACAGTGCTTTTGGCCCAACCCTTAACCAGGACACTGCAGGTTTCTTCAGGGCTGAACCTGGACCACTATCAGTGTTTGCCTCTGAAAGCCTGCTTCTTCTGTGAGAGAAGACGGGCTGCCAGCATCAGGGCTCAGGGCCAGACTACAGGATTAAAATGAAACCCAAACCCACGGCCATCTAGATGATCCCAATTCATAGCTACCCCATAGAATGGAGTAGAATTGCCCCATAGAGTTTCAGTTAGTAGCTGAGTGCTTAACCACTGTACCACCAGGGCTGGAATGTTAAGTCTCCCTCCCCCATCTGTCAGGTTGTCCTACTGTAATGACTTATGTGTTGTTGCTAGGATATTGGAAGCTATACTACCAGTATTGCAAATACCAGCAGGGTTACCCCGTGGTGAACTTGTTTTAGCAGATCTTTCAAACTAGGAAGAAAGGCCTGGCACTATTCTTCCAGCAGTCCTTGAAAGCCATATGGATCACAACTGAACATTGTCTAGTATAGCACTATATGAGCCTGTGAGGTGGCACTTGAAATACACAGCCACAGCAGTAGGCTTCGAGCAGATCAAAGGTCACGAAGATGGTGCAGGACCAGGCACCTTTTCCTTCTGTTGTACATGGGGTCGCCATTAGTCAGAGCTGACTTGATGACAGCTAACAACAACAACATATTTAGCCTTCTTCCCCTGTAACTCGGCGTTTCCTGGGACCCATCCATTTTCCCCTGGTTCAGAGGCGAGGGTGGCTGTAAGCCCAGAAGCTGAGGCTGCAGTGTTTCTCTTTCTGCCGGAATCTACCGCTTCACAGACGGTGGGAAAATTGACATGTCTCAGTGGGCAGCAGGCATGCGATAGAAATTGGTGAATGGGTCTCAGGCTACTGCTCCTTTTTCAGTCACCCTCTTGTTTTAACAGGTCTTTCTCTTTTCTCCCCAATCAGAGATGCCTCAGGAATGGAGTCCAGTTTCTTCCTAACCACAACCTAGTGCCCCTACCCCATGGTTCAAGTTATCAGATATGCCGACCAGGTGGAGAACTGCCCCTGGTGAGTGGTTCTGGGCATGAGCAAGCTGACAGTACTGGGAGATCTGAAAAGCCAGCATTCCACATCCAAGGCCTTCAGGTTACAGAGCCCAGCGTGCTCGGGAAATAGTTGACTAATTCCTACTGGACATCTTTAGGGACGAGGTGCTCAGGCTCACAAAGTAGTGCCTTGTGCCAGTTCTAAAGGCTAGTAAAGCCATCCCTGTGTTGAATGGAGAGTCACTTCCCTGAAGCCCCTCCTGTGGGCCTCTCATCAAGCGACACTCCCTTTTCTGTCATAACAGCCTTTTAGGCATTTGAGCCATCATGCCATTGTTCCCTAGGGCTGACTTGCCCAGGTACACCTCCCCCATTCGCTCAGTCCTTCCTCCCAGGGAGCATTTTTCTAGAGTTTTTGCCCTCCTGATCTCTTACCAGCTAAGCTTGTGTCTCGCCACTGTGAGGAGAGAAAATTATGAGCCCCACACCCTTCCCCAAACCTGTGTGCTTGGACTGTCCACTCCCTCCTCCCCTTCTGCACTGTACCGGGAGTCTTCAGTTCAGACAACTACTTCCCCGCACTTGCCTTACACGGGCTCTATCCTCCAGTCCAGTTCTGGAGTGCTTATGGGCATAGGACCCTTAGTTATCCAGTCCTCCAACACCCACGATTTGCAGCCCTAGAGGGTATGGTAAGGCTGAAGCAAAGTGGCACAACCCCAGATGGTCTTAGAACCTGGCTGAGCAGGGTAGCCTTGGAATGGACTGCAGCATCCAGGCTCAGGGCCGCTTTCTCTGACATTCACCCATTGCTCCTGGAGCTGGTGGAGCAACCCCAGCTGCATAGCTGGGGTCACACCCAGGGAAATGGCGGGAGTAGCTGGCTACAGGCAGCCACCTCCCCATGGCACAGTGCTCTGACAGTTCTCGTAGCACTGTTGCTCTTCTTTCAAGCCACTGTCAGTTACATGTATGGCAAGCAGGGATTTGAACCTGGCTTTGCCTAACCTGGAGCCAGTGTTATCCAGCCACGTGCAGCATTGGCCCTTGTGTCTAGAGCCTAGGCCGTGGATGCATTGGGTTTTCCCGAGGGTGGGAATCCTGAGCTTGAGTTCTCTGTGACTGAGCCTATGGGCCCCAAGAGGGAGGATTGTACCTATCTTGGGGCCCGCAGGTCGGTGCCACCTGGTTATTGAGTGGCCTTAAAGGACACAGTTCTCCAAGTGAGGCTGAGAGGAAATTGGCCTAGCCCCAGAATATCAGGGAGTCACCCTGTGTAGGAGTCTTGGGATTTAGAGGCTCAGAATCCTTCCCAATTCTGGGATGAGGGGCTATCAGGATGATGACCTTTACCCTGGGTGAGTGTGAGTGCATATTTCTACACAGATTGTTCGGGACATTTGACTACATTCTTCACAATACATGAACATCTCATTATTTCTGTTCTGGTTGTTCTGTTTCCATTAATTTAGCTTCCCTGCCCCTTTACATTTTCATATGTGTTTTAAAGTCATTGTTGACCATCTGGTCTGGTACAGACAATTTTTTAATAGAAGCACACTACTCAACAGGTGATATTGTTTGTTTTATGAGTCCAACTGTTATTTACCTAAAAGGTGACTTCAGCCTAGTTTCTGTTCAAGATTTAAAGAGTGTCTCGGGGCTATAGTCTCCAGGAGTCCTCCAGTCTCACCCAGTCCAGGAAGTCTAGCTTTTTGAGATTCTGTTCCACATTTTTCTCCTCTTCCCTCAGAGTCCATCTGTTAGGGTTTTTTTCATTTGTCTCTCACCATTGTGGTTATTGTAAAAAGATAGCTATCCGTTGTTGAACCTGTAGTAACAGAAAGTGAAAACATCATTTACTATCCCCCTGTGCTCACCAGACAGTTCGTCATTTCTAACTTTTTCTTTTAATTTCTTTCTAGTCCAAATCCTATTCTTCTGGCAGCAGAAAAGGCTTCCTGTCCGGCTTGCTAGATAATATCAAACAGGAGTTAGCCAAAAACAAAGAAATGAAAGAAAGTATAAAAAAATTCCGAGACGAGGCCAAGAAGCTGGAAGAGTCTGATGCGCTCCAGGAAGCCCGAAGGAAATACGTAAGTGCCTTCGCTTTGCATCTGTGTCGGCTGTCAAACTGTGTCCCCAGTCGGGATTTCCCTGGCCCCAGAGAGCCAGCCAAGCTCAGGGCCAGGCAGCCTGTGAGGAGGTGAGCTCATTGCACCAAGGGGACTGAGTGGCTCACCTAGACCTGGTCCTGTCACAAGACCGGCAGCATTGGGTTTTCTTGGGACTGTGTGAAAAATACATGTCTCAGACCCCTCTTGACCTTGATCAGAATCTGCATTTTTGTCAGTTTTTTGGTGACCAGAAACACAACAGAACATGCACCACGTCAGCAGTTTCCAGACACACAAGTCAGTGACGGTTGCATTCTTCAGTTTATGCCATCTTTCTTTTTTTTTTTTTTCTCTGTAAGTAATTTTTTGTTATAAAAAGCCGTAACAAAAGCAAACAAACAAAAGGCTTGTATCACACACAAAAAAGTATCTCCCCCTGTCCCTTTTCCATCTCTAAACTCTTTAGAGAAAGCAGCTGGTTAACAGTTTAGAGGCTATGCTTAGAGCCATTATTTGTGCCATAACAACTTATCTCCACCCGTATGTTTTTATACATTTTTAAAAACACACCTAGAATAGAACTGGGTAAGAACACTGACCTGAAAGCCATGTGCCATCTTTCTTGACAGCCTTTACCAAATAATTTCATCATTGTCAGCACAGGCTCACTGCCCCCTCAGCTTCTCATCTGTCCTTTTGAGATATAGTTCCTGTCCTTTTGTGATAGACATGGTTCTTTAAAAGACCTTGGCATTTAGGGCAGACACTCTTTATTAATTTGTCTAAACTGTTATTTGGTTCAAAGATGACTTCAGGGCATAGATCTGGTTCAAAGCTTAAATATTGCCTCAGGGGAATAGTTTGGGGAAGTCATCTGGCCTTACCGACTCCAGAAAGTCTGGGTCCCATGAGAATTTGAATATTGATTTTGGTGCTTCTGTCCTAACTCCTGAGGAGCCCTGGTGGCACAGTAGTTAAGTACTCAGCTGCCAACCAAAAGGTCAGTGGTTTGAACCCACCATCTGCTCCATGGGAGAAAGATGAGGCAGTCAGCTTCTGCCATAAAGATTAACAGTCTAGGGAACTCTATGGGGTAGTTCTACTCTGTCCTTTAGGGGCGCTGTGAGTCTGAATTGACTCAGTGGCACTGGGTTTAGTTTGGGCTTTGCTTCTGTAAAGATTAACAGCCTTGGAAACCCTATGAGGCAGTTCTACTCTGTCCTGTTGGGTTGATATGAGTAGGAATTGACAACAGCGAGTGTTTTGGTTTTACCTCCTAGTTTGCTGTGTAGTGTCTGGGGTCTTAAAAGCTGTGTGCACCCATCCAAGGTACGAATTGGTCTCTATTTGCTGAGAACACCAGATGAAGAAGGAATGTCAGGGGTTGGTGTGGGAAAGGGAATGTGTGCTCAGTTGCCTCTGTGAACAGAAGAACTGGATGGTGCCCAGGTACCAATACTGAGCAATTAGATCAAGAATTCTATAGAAGAATCCTGATCAAAAGAGGGAAAATATGGAACAGAATTTCAGGAGCTGCACCTTCACAGGCTCCTCCAGTGATAATACTGCACACTGGATTTGAGCCACATTTCTCCTAAGAGCCTTCTGGCTGGGGCATTGAGTGAAAAGGGAGTAGCAAGGGGGCTACAGTGGTAGTGCAATGATTTCATCACCTCTGTGGTCTTATAAAACCTCTGGTGGTATAGTGGTTAATGCATTTGGTGCTAACCAAAAGGTCAGCAGTTTGAACCTACCAACTGTTCCACTGGAAGAAAGATGAGGCCGTCTGTTTCCATAAAGTTTTACAGCTGTGGAAATCCAGTGAGGGTTGCTGTGAGTCGGAAGCAACTCGATGGCAGTGACTTTCGGTTTTTGGTTTGGTGGTCTCTTACCGCCAGCTCCCAGGCTGTAGCCACTGTCAGTGTGCTCTGTGTCCTTTAGCTGGACTCTCTAAGTACTTGGCGAGGCAGGCGCAGTACCCCATCCTAGTGAGACGCACCCAGCTGCAGAGCTGCTGGCATCTGCCCAGGCCCCACAGGTTTTTTTTTTTTTGACCCCTAAGTTAGGACATGGGCCTAGGCTAAGCAAGGCCCCTGCTTGTAGGGAGTTTCCCTACATGGAAGATGACCTTCCCTTATCTTTAAGGAAGCAGAGTGGACAGAGGGATTGTTCGGGGGTGGTCTGAGTTCCCTAGTGCCGCTATAAAAGAAATACCACAAGTGGGTGGCTTTAATGAACAGAAGTTTATTTTCTCATGGTTCAGGGGCTGGAAGCCTGGATCCAGGGTGTGGCTCTGGGGGAAAGTCCTTGTCTATTGCAGCTTCTGTCCCTTCTTGTCTTGGTGATCTTTAAGGGCATCTTCCCTCCCTCCTTGGTCCTGGCTTCTCTGTCCAATCTTCATTTTCTCAGAAGTTGTTGTTTAGGGAACACTTTGTCCTGATAGGGCCTTATTAACATAACAGAAAACTTTATTCCCATCCTCAGGGATAAGGGTTAGAATTTCAGCACACCTTTGGAAAACAGTTCAATCCATAACCAGAAGAGGTGGCAGCAACTGGAGGCTGGGCTGGGCCGGAGCAAGGGGTGATGCTGAGAGTGGTACCCCCCAAGATGCTGCTGACACGGGGTGGGACAGGAACACCCCTCCACCCACAGGGAGAGACCCACAGCCAGGCACTCTTGTGTGCAGCAGGGAGCTGGACTGCCCTATGTTGCCTGGCAAGGGGCTGTCACCTGCCAAGATGCTTCCCTACCCCCGCCCCCAGGCCGAACTAACTCCTTGCAGAATGTCCCGACCACTGAGGAGAGCTGGCCTGGGCTGGGAGGTCTAGGGAACAAACACCTCTGTGACCCTGGGGATAAGAGCTGTTTAACCTGGATCATAACAAAGAAACCTTGTGTTTTTCCTAGAAAACTATCGAATCTGAAACTGTCCGGACCAGTGAAGTGATCAGGAAGAAGCTTGGGGAACTCACAGGCACAGTGAAGGAGGTGAGGGTGGGACACTGGCCCATGTGCCTCTCTAGGTGCCTGCATGGCTGCTGCTCCATGCTCCAGGGCACACCTGTTACTTGTCTCCTGAAGAGAGGGCGGTGTTGGAGGCATGAGGAAGAGCGCTCTCCCGGAGAGAGTGCATGCAGGCCTGACTCGGCAGCCGTGGGGACCCGGCCTGCTCAGTGGAGGCTGTGATGCTCTGAGGGAGGGTTCTGGAGTTAAACATGATGTTCCTGACACAGGAGGCCAAGTCAGGCTGTGGTCCCCTATTCAGTACCAGGCCGCTTCAGTTAGCGGCCCAGCCCAGTACCAGGAGGGACAGAGGGGGATAATCGGGTTTTATTTTTTCCTTTTCTGCTTAAAAACAGAAGGGAACCACTCTGGAGGGCAGCTCTACACAGGTGAGGGCGGGCATGGGAGTGAGCCTCGGAGCAGAGTGGATCTGTGGCCTGTGTTTGTAGTTTTCTGCTCTCAGGGCAACAGAGAGGGGCAGACTCTGCACAGCTCTGCAGTGCAGCAGGGCCAGCCTGGTGTTGGCCCCTTGCAAATTCCTGGATCCTTGGACCTGGGCAGTTCTGGAGGCCCAGAGGGCCAGGACTACCACCTATCTTTTGAGAGAAAACCAATTGGCATGGTGTCTAGCCTACAGCCTTTGATCAGGGGTCCAAACCAAAGCCATGTGGGGACCAACTGAGGGTTCAGAACCCCAGAAATGGTACCCAGAGTCCCTGGGTGGTACAAACAGCACATGGACTCTGCTGCTAACCAAAAGGGTGCAGGTTCAAGTCCACCCAGAGGCACCTTGCAAGAAAGGCCTGGCGATTTTCTGGAAACTCAGCCATTGGAAACCCTTTGGAGCAGTGTTCTACTCTGACACCCATGCGGTTGCCAGGAGGTGGTAGTTTTTGTTCTTGAGAGCATGGGACTGAGTCTTAGGGGTCAGTGACCGCAGGAGTTAAGGTCACTTCTACAAGCCCTTTGGAGAACTGGCCTCAGCTCCCAGGGCTCCTCTGGTCCCCAAGGGGCTGCGCTAACGCCTCTGCTCTTCCTCTCTCTTTGTCTCAGTAGAGTCTTGATGAAGTCAGTAAAAGTGACTTTGGCCGGAAAATCAAGGAAGGTGTGGAAGAAGCAGCCAAGACAGCTAAGCAGTCAGCTGAGTCGGTGTCCAAGGGCGGGGAGAAGTTGGGCAGGACTGCAGCCTTCAAAGCCCTTTCGCAGGTGAGCTCCGGCCTGACCCAGGTGCTGTGGTTGCGGGAGGCAGGGGCTGAGCTGGGGCAGGTGGCCCTGGGTGGCCAAACCTGCCTGTCTCGAAGATGTTGGCTGAGGCTTTCCAAAGGGCTCTGGCCTGCTGTGCGTCTGAGGTCAGAGTTCACATCTGCACGCTAATCCTTCACGAGGGCCAGCTTCCCTGAGGATCTCACAGTGGGCCTGGTGGGGAAGAGTGGTTCAAGGCACTGGCTCCTCGCTCTCCCAAGGGCTTTGCCAGTTACTGTGGGGAGAACATCCATCCCAACCTTAGTTGCCGACACTCCTGGCTTCTGTCTATAAACGAGCTCTGGTGGGTTCAGGGCGTGTGAGGTCACAGATTCATTCCCTGGACATCTGTTGAGGTTTGGTCCATGCTGAGGTGGCAGGGGACCTGAGCTACACCATGACAGTGGAGCACATGGGGGCCCAGGTGGAGAACGGTGACCGTCAAAGGGCTGCAGGCCTGGGGGGGCAGTGTGGACAAAGCTCTAAAGGAAGAGTGAGCAGGGCTGGTTCCCAGCCACTTGGGGGTTAGAGTTTGTCTGGGAAGCAGTGAGGACCTGTGGACAGGCTTGTGGGGTGGGGAGGCACTGCTATCTGGAGAGCTAGTGGCAGAGGCCCTGAGGGGGCAGAAAGTAGTGACAGGAGGTTGGCATTGGGAGTGGGCCTGGAGCATCCAGAAGTTCAGGGAGGGAGAACTCACAGGGTTTGGGTCAGCTTGATGGGGGGGTGGGCTGAGGCAGGGTCGTAGGATGATCTTGGGGTTTCTGGCTCACATGACCAAGTGGGTTCGAGTGAGAGTGAGGAGTCAGGGCTTGCAGTTGGAAGGCCGTCTGGGGGCAGTCAAGGATGTGTTTGCTGCTTAAGGGGGCGTGTTGGTGGGGCCAGAAGTAAGGCAGCAGTGCTGGCCCCCCTGGGGCTCTGTGTCATTTCCCGGCCAGGGTTGGCAGGTGTCCACATGCAGGGCAGGCAGAGCCAACATTCTGAGAAGCTGGCCCTGAGGGACCTGGACGGGGCATGCGTATGGTCAGGCCTGAGGCCAGGGTATGGGCTCAGCAGAAGGCACTTTCTGACTTGGGGCACACTGCACAGGCCGGTGGCAGCCTGGGCAGGCTGAGAGTCCTGGGAGTCCCTGAGCTGGAGTGCCAAAGTCCTCCTGCCATGCTTCCCTGCAGGGCGTGGAGTCCGTGAGGAAGGAGATCGATGAGAGTGTCCTGGGGCAGACGGGCCCCTACCGGAGGCCTGAGCGGCTCAGGAAAAGGACGGAGTTTGCAGGCGAGAAGATCAAGGAAGATAAAGTGTTTGAGCCCAATGAGTACGTGTCAGCAGCCAGGGAGCAGCGAGCAGCCTGGTCTGGACCCCGGCCTTTCTGAGAGGCCCTGTGCTGTGTTTCTGCCCTCACTACCTGGAAGGCTTCTGCCCCTGTCTGCTCCTCAAGTATTTTCTACTCGAGGGTCCTTGTTCCCTTGAAGGAATTTGGGGGAGGAAAGGGGCAGAGACGCAGGAGGCCAGGCGTGGGGTGGTTGGGCCTGCATCCGCCACTGCCCCAGCTCAGCCCCTCTCCCCAGCAGCATGATGAGGTGTCCCCCACTGGCCATTGCTTACCTGTTGTCCGCCCTTCCCCAGGGAGGCCCTGGGTGTCGTTCTCCACAAAGACTCCAGGTGGTACCAGCAGTGGAAGGACTTTAAGGACAACAACGTGGTCCTTAATCGTGAGTGTGAGGGCTTGAAGGGCCTCCTGGGTGCTGGGTGGTCATGGCAGCAGGGAGGTGGCAGTGAGGGGTCAGTAAGGACAGTGGACACTACGTGAGCACATCTCTGCTCAGGAGAGAGCCCCATTATACAGAGGAGGAGATGGGAGTCCCAGAGGCCCACCACCCTGCATGGCCAAGGGGAACACCCATGTCATGATGTCACTTCCAGGAGTGAGGGGGCCGCCCTAGGTGCAGAGTGCCCCCCTCCCCAGGGCTGGGGGAGCAGCACGGGCAGCCAGGCCTGCCCACCTGCATGATGTTGCAGGCAGCAAGGTGATAGCTGTCCTGCAGGGGGCCAGCGGATGGAGAACCCTGGTGCTGACACCGTGTCAGCTCAAGCCCCTGGAGAGGGGCAGCATGTCTGGGCTGGGACTCTTGGCTGTAAGGGAGGCGCGAGGTACTTGGGTACTGACGAGCACAGCTGCTGTACCCAGCATGCCAGCCCTGTGAGGGTCACAGGAGGCCTGTGTTTCTTTTGTGGTGGAAGCAGCACCCCCCAGGGTGCTACCTCATAAGGTACATGAGCCCACTAGACCCCCACTAGGGGCCCGTGGCGGGCTCAAGAGGTAGGCAGGCAGGCTCTGGGAACGCAGGTGGGCTGTGTGGGGCCACGGGTGCTCCTAAAGCTTATGGAAATGGGCTGCATTTCCAGAAGGTGCTCTACCAGCCCCTGAGCCTGCCCCACCCCCACCCCCACCCCCACAGGCTTCTTCGAGATGAAGATGAGGTATGACGAGAGTGACAACGCGTTCATCCGTGCATCCCGGGCACTCACTGACAAGGTCACAGACCTGCTGGGTGAGTTAGCTGTTCTGGAAACTGTCCTGGCAGCTCTGTAGGGGGTCCCAGCCCACCACCCACCCTCTGCTCTGCTCCCCCAGGGGGCCTGTTCTCCAAGACGGAGATGTCGGAGGTGCTCACAGAGATCCTGCGAGTGGACCCCGCCTTCGACAAGGACCGCTTCCTGCAGCAGTGCGAGGACGACATCATCCCCAACGTCCTGGAGGTGGGCACACCATGCCCTGCTCACCCCTCCCAGCGGCCCCTCTTGTCTCTTTTTGCTGTCGCTCCTGCCTGTGTCTGGCACCTAGGGCATGCACTCCCTCAGATGCTGCCACCTGAGCCAGGGCTCTCAGGGTAGCTAGGCTGTGGGCCTGTGATCTGAGCTCCTATGGGCTGTGCCTGGGGTCCTCTTCGTCTTCAGAGGCTTCAGTCTGTCTGTCAGGCAGCCCTGAGGCAGCACCAGGTCCTTGCAGTAATCCCAGGAACCAGTGGCCCGCTGGCTCAGAGGACACTTGCTCTCTGCCTTGTCTTGCCTTGGCCATGGTCTTTTTGGCAGTCTCGTCCACTCAGTGTGTCTGTTCCACAGAAACACATCCCTTCCTCCCATGGTTGCCGCCTCTCCTGCCAACAGTGAGGCATGGCCAGAGCCTCCTGGCCCCATTTCCCTCAAGCCCTCTGCCTGAGGCTGGTCCCTCAGGTTGCTGTGAGCAGGGACCAGGTTTGTCTCCCAGGGGCAGGGGGCGTTCATCTCCTGGGTGCTGGGGCTCTTCAGGAGCTGGGGTAGAACTAGGTGGCAGGGCTGGGCACTTGGCTGGCCTGAGCAGTGCACCCACAGGGTGCTGCTGCCCCTGTCTTCAGTTTCAACACGTGTGCCAGACAGACCCATGGGTGGGATGGCAGGACAGGGCTGCAGCCAAGGACTTCTTGGGCATGTGTCTCCATGGGGAGCCTGGAATATGCTTCTCCTCCTCCTCCTCTACCCCGGGTGAGAGATGAGGGAGGTGAGTTGCTCTTAAGTCACATCATCTACTGCACACACTCCCGAGGCTCCTCCGTGCAGTTGTTGGCTTTGTCCCTGCCCATCTCTACTTCTGTCCTCCTGGACATGGCAGGAGACTGGCCTTCTCAAGTCTGTTAGCAGGGCTTCACGATGCCCCTGATCCCTGCATGGATTTCTGCCCTGCCCCCAGCCCTCCATCCCCAGCCTTTGAAGGGTGTCTTTCTCCTGTTCCCCAGGCACCTTGGGCAGGGCTGGGAGGATGTAGAAACTGGAGTGCATCCCAAGTGCAGCTGCCATAGCTGGGTGGTGTGCTGGGGTGAGGGGTGGGGACCCCATGGTGTGGCTCCGAGCCGGCCTGCAGTTCTCCCTTGGGCCCTGACTCCTCCCTCCTCTCTGGGGGCTTTCCTCACTCTCGCCAGACCCAGCCCTGGCGCCAGAGTCCTGTGGAAGCCTCTCATCGCCCCTGGAGCATCCTGCTTCGGTTACATCCTCCCTCAGTTACGTCCCCCGTCCACTGTGGGTTCTGTTTCCCCTCGACTGGGAGCATCCTGCCCTTGAGTGGGCCGGGCTGTCAGCAGCTTCATCCCCAGGGAGGGGGATGGCTGCAGCCCCTCGCTCGCCGCCTTGGCCAGGGTGTGAGCTGAGCATCCTCATCCTCATCCTGTCTCCCTCCCCCAGGACCATGGAGACCCAGGGCATCTCCTCAGCCGCCTCCAGCACTGAGAGCTGCAGCCCCACGGGCAGGGACTTGGGGCCCTGGGGAGGGGGCACCCTGCTGCTGCAGCCTGACCCAGGCTCCCCACCCTCTCCAGGAGGCACTGGTGCTGGCCACAGACGGGTACACATGGTGGGGGCCGAGAGTCTTCAGAGGAAAGGTCTCTGTGGAGATCACGTTAGGAGCACTGCCTGGAAGGCCTCCCGTCGTCTCCCGCTGAGTTTCCGTCTTTCCCTTTTTAGGCTATGATTGCTGGAGAGCTTGACATTCTCAGAGACTGGTGCTATGAAGCCGTGAGTCCCCGTTTTTCTTTTTTAGGCCTACAGAGAAAGCACAGTCTGGAGTAGGAGGTCTGCTTAGGCGGCTCAGGGCGAGGCTGGCCTGGTCCCCTGGGGGATGATGGGGTCCTTCTTGGCTTGATGGACCTGGCAGCCCAGGCCTGCCTGCAGTTAGTTGTCTGCATCTGTGGACTGGGCACCGCAGAACCTGCCAGAACTCCTGGGGCTGGGGGCTGGCCGTGGCGCCCATGCTGTAAACTGCTTGTTTGGGGAGGATCCCTCGCTCGGTGCCCACAGAGCACCTGAAGGGGCCCCAGGTGTCCTTCCCTCATCTGCCATTGCCATCTGGAACCACCTGGCAGAACGTCGGCGTGTCGTGATGGAAAAGCAGGGGACACAAGGCTGCTTGTTCCCTGGGCCTCTTTCTTCCTCCCCCACTGTGGTCTAATTCTGGTTAAGAGCATTGTTCTAGGAGAGGAGATTAGAGCCGCGAAGTGAGATGAGGTTTTTGTCAGGGCAGCCCATTCTGCATATCTCCCTGCCCTGCCTCCAGTGCCCAGGAGTGATAGAAAGTGGGACCCTGTGGCCAGGGTGACCTGGGGTACAAGCTGGGCCAGAGGGCTGAGGAGTGGGTGAAAAGACCAGGGAATGACAGTAGGGAGAATGAGACCGTTCCCCCCCACTCCATGTGATCAAGAATGGACCTGAAAGGGAACTTATTTGAGGTCCTGACTCAATCCATGTCCTCCTTACGTAGCCCACTGTCAGAGTCATGAGGGTCAAACACAAAGCCAGGAGCAGCTCCCCAGACACAGTTTAATGAGCTGTTGTCATGACGAGATCCTAAAACAGGTCAGAACAGACAAACCAGTGTCCTGCCTGGGGAGGAGCAGCATGTTCTGTCACAGCCTCCCCCTGACCTCTAGTGGGGCACAGGCTCCTAGAGCCACCCCCTTTATAAAAGGTTAGGGCTCATGGGGGCAGCCAGGCTTCTTGCTCAGGACAGCATCAGTGTTCCCGCAGGGTCATCTGGCCACCACCTCACCTGTGTGGTCCTACACAGTCTCATCGTGGGTTTACTCAGCCCCTTTGTATAAGCGGTAAAATCTCAGCTAATTCTGTTCCATGCCCGCTTACCAAATGACCCTGAAAAAAGCCCAGGAGAAGATGGCAGGTCTTCTGTTGAAACACTCCCCTGCACAGTGACTAATCCCGCTGGCATTTCGGGGGGTTGTGCTTTGGGACCACGAAGATGGGGCTGATTATCTTTGGCAAGTGGAGCTCTGCTGGCGTCCCTGGAAACAGCTAACGTAGCCACTCACACCCAGGTGTTTTTAAAATGTCATCTTTAACAATTCCAACAACTAGGATTAGCACTCTGTTTCCAACCCCCCCTTCCAGTGGAACAGTTATTTCCATAAAAAGTATATGCTGTTGGCATATCTCCTGCCACAGCCGTCTGCCGAGCTCGGAGGCGCCTGAGTGGAGACACGTGGGGCCACCCGTGCCCTGAGTTACTGGGGTGGGATGGAGCAGGTACCATGAGGCTAGAGTTGTCATTTAGGGCTCATGCCCAAGTGTCAGGGCATTCCTGCCCCCAAAGGAAAAATAGGAGCCCCTGGGTAGTTGAGGTGGCGAGCGGGCTTGGCTGTTGCCCGTAAGGTTGCAAGTTTGAATCCACTTCAAGGTGCTCTGGCAGAAAGGTCTGGTGATCTTCAAACAAATCAGCCACTGAAGATCCTGTGGAGCACAGTTCTCTCACACACCGGGCTGCCATGAGTCGGAGTCGACTCCATGGCAAGGGGACAACGGGCTGCCTGGGGCCAGGTCAGTAGCAGCAGGCAGGTGGTTGCGGAGCAGCCCGATCCTAGAAGAGACGTTGGGCCCGGGCCAAGGTTCCTGGTGAGAGGAGTGTAAGCTAAGCCTGCCCCAGAGCGTTTTAAATAGTTTGCGGGAGAATTGCCCACTTTGCTGATTAGCACTGCTGTGACTTGGTCTCGACAGCAGGGCTGTTTTCCTAATAAAGGGATGTGGGAGGTCTCAGCCAGGCCAGCACTTCAGTGGCCCGGCCTCTTGTCGAGAGCGCGGCAAGTACCAGGAACCGTTTGAGGAAGGTGTACACACGGCCTCCAGGGCCAAAAACCCAAAGCTAAGCTAGGGACTTCTGTTGGAGACTGCTTCAGGACTGGCTGCAGGCCCCTGAGCCACCTCAGCCTCAGCTGTGCAGGGGCTGGTCGTGTCCCCACCACCACCACCCATGGGAGGGCACTGGCCTTGGCCCACCCCAGTGGCTATCCCCATGGGCATGTCCTCTTGTTGCAGACCTACAGCCAGCTGGCCCACCCGATCCAGCAGGCCAAGGCCCTGGGCCTCCAGTTCCACTCCCGCATCTTGGACATTGACAACATTGATGTAAGCACTCTGCCCAGGGCTGGGCCAACCCCAGGGCCAGACAGGGAGGGCATTGAGGCAAGACTGCGGGTGGGGCCAGGAGGTTGCCCTTCTAGGTGCTGGGGGTGTATGTCAGTCCTGGTTGCCTCCTGAGGGTACTGAGCACCCAGGGGAGGCCCAGCCAGAGCAGGGGCTTGGACTACATGACCTTGAGGGTCCCTGCAGGGTACAGCTTCTGAAGTCCTGTGTTTGGAATATTTTTAGCAGGGGCTGGGGACTGCCCAGATCTCAGGTTCTGGGCCTCCCAGGTTGATGTCCCTGCCCCTTCCTGGGAGTGGTAGGCTTTGTCAGGACTAAAGTTCCTCAGTTTCTCTGGAGGGAGCTCTCCTTGGCCTATGCCTGGCAGGCCCTGGCCTGGGAGCCCTTCATGTACCTGTGCAGCATTGGCCCACACTGGTTGGCCCTGGGCAGAGACTCCAGCAAGGTGTGCAGGGCCTACACAGAGCCTCAGTCAGCTCAGACCCAGTCCCAGCAAAGGGCAGGGGGCTGAGGACTCTGGGGTTGGCTGCCTCAGGTTCCCCCGGGCCTAGTCTGACAGCAGGGTCTGAAGCCTATAAGCAGATGAGCCAAGAGAGGCTCTTGGTGCTGGTACATCTGCCTCTTAGTGGATGGGATGTCCAGCAGCATGAGAAGGCTGGGGAGCTCTCTGAGGTCACCTGCCTGTTGGCCCCTTCCCTGCAGCTGGCCATGGGCAAGATGATGGAGCAGGGACCTGTGTTGATCATCACCTTCCAGGCCCAGCTGGTGATGGTGATCAAGAACCCCAAGGGCGAGGTGGTTGAGGGCGACCCGGTGAGTGGGGGTGGGAAGCCTGGATGGGACCCAGCCTGGGACCCCACATGCAGCTTCTGGTCCTGTGGTGATGCCAGTTCAGAGCTGGGAGGGGATCCCAGGCAGAGGTCAGGCTTGGGCTCAGAGGCCCTGACCTGTTAGCTTTACCAGCCCTGAGCAGCCCCTGGGGGGGTCCTCATGATGGCTGCCTCACATAGCCTGTGCCCTCTGAGAGCCACCGACATCCCCATCTCTTCAGGACAAGGTGCTGCGAATGCTGTACGTGTGGGCGCTTTGTCGGGACCAGGATGAGCTGAACCCCTACGCTGCCTGGCGGCTCCTGGACATCTCTGCCTCTAGCACAGAGCAGATCCTCTGAATGCAGCCCCACCACTGAGAGCGCCGGAGCTGGACCAGCACACAGTGGACAGACGGATGGACGTGTGTTTGCCTGCAGCCACTCCAGACATCTGGGCCAGGCAGAACCAGCTGGCGAGGGAAGGGCCAGGCACCCTCCCTATGGCGCCAGCCCCTGCACCACCACCGGACTAAAGGCAGCTGGCAGGGGGCCTGGATAGTGCCAAGAAGCCCCCAGGGTCTGGGGAGCCATCTGGGGGCAGGGTGGTGGGACACAGGCCCTGCCTCAGTGGCTGCTGGCTGCTACCTCAGGCAGGCTGTTTTAGTTCTGTATTTTTATTTTAACAGTGCCCTTCCTGTACATGAGTGAGATTTTTGAAAATAACAATAAAACCCCAGATGCTGTAGAGCAATTTGTATGGCCCAGGCCCCTGTCTCTGGGGTGGGGTGGGGACTGAGACTAGGGCCAGCTGGTCATGGGGAACAGTCAGTCACTGAGGGCACTGCAGCTGCAGGAAGTGTGGGAGCCCTGGAAGAGGAGGAAGATTAAGGGGATATGACTGACGAGAAGTAACGGTTGTCGGTGGAATCAGCGCCAACCTGTGGTAGCCTCATGTGGGCAGGACACAACTGTGTTCCATAGTTTTCTACACAGCTGTGACATTTAGAACAGAGCACCAAGCATTTTGTTCAGGTGTGCCTCTAGGTGAACTTGAACCGGGAGCCTTTTGGTTAGCAGCCAGCCTTTCTGTACCCCATCCAGGGACCCCTACTAGAGAAGACTGAACAATTCCTCCCCTAGCGGCTTAGCCAAGGTTGCTGAGGACGGAGGGTGCTGGGTGAGGTGGGGTGGGGCGGGGCGGTGCGGTGCGGCTGAGGTCCTGGGGGCTCATAGGCCCAGGCAGCTTGGACAGGTGGTCTGCGTTGCCAGGGCTTGGGAGGGGTCGAGGCCCGCGCGCGGCTTCCTGCGCAGCCTCCGCCCTTCGTGGCCCCGCCCACCGCGCGCGGCCCCGCCTCCGTCGCCATGGGAACAGTCGCGGCGGCCCCGCTCGCGCGCGGCTCGCCTGCCTCGGTCTCCGCCGCTCCCGGGGCGGGTGGGGTGGGCTGAGCCGGAGCTGGGGCCGCCGCTGTCGCCGCTGCCGCTGCCGCCGGGGAAAAGCCTGAGAGGAACCGGTGCCGGTCCTGGGAGAGCGCAGCTGCTGGGTAGTCTGTCCCCGTCCGTGTCCAGCCCAGGGTGAGGGGCGCGCGGGGCCGAGGGTGGTGGGGGAGGGGGCTCCCTGGAACGCTAGAACAAAGGGACCAGGCGGGGATGCGGGAACTCGCCTCCGCGCGCGCGCCCGGGCTGCGGCCGCTCATCGCACCTGTTGTGCGCCGGCCCGGCAGCCGAAGCTCGCCCTGCCCGCTCCCAGAGCCCCCATCTGCGCGCGCGCCCGGAGTTCTGTCCCCTCGTGGCGGTTTCGGCGTGCCCGCGGCCTGGCATGGGCGTGGTCCGAGGACAGAAGCGCGGGCGGGGAAGGGTACCCGCAAGGTGAGGGTGCGGCAGTGGGACGATCTATGAGGGTCGGGCGGGCGCCGCCTTATCCCCGCCCTGGCGGGCCTCCTTTTCTTCCCGCAGGGCACGCGGCGATGTGAGCCATGAGCGCGACGTGGACGCTGTCGCCGGAGCCGCTGCCGCCGTCTACGGGGCCGCCGGTGGGTGCGGGCCTGGACGCGGAACAGCGCACGGTGTTCGCCTTCGTGCTCTGCCTGCTCGTGGTGCTGGTGCTGCTGATGGTCCGCTGCGTGCGCATCCTGCTCGACCCGTATAGCCGCATGCCCGCCTCGTCCTGGACGGACCACAAGGAGGCGCTCGAGCGCGGGCAGTTCGACTACGCGCTAGTCTGAGGGGGGCGGGGCCCCGGGCGGCCCACCTCGGCATCTACCTTGTGCGGGCCGGACCTGGGCGCTGCCAGGCCTGGATTGTGATCAGGACTCCGCCCGAGAGCCCCAGCAGAAAAGAAGTCCAGCTCTCCCCTCCTCGTACTCCTATGTCCCCTCCTGGCCAGGCTGGAACCTACCCCATGCTGTTATCTGTCCTGCCCTGTCTTCTCTCCGCTTCTCAACACCCTGGCTGGCCCCCGCATCGGAGCCCCGACTGGAAGGGCCCCAAGCATGTAGGTGCCTCTGCTATGTTCTGCCACCAGGCATGAGTGCCACCGTCTGTTCCTGGGCATCCTCGTCCCCTCCACCCTGTCCTCTCTTTCCTTCTAAGTGTTGAGGCCCTCCTTGGGCTCCGGCCTGTCAGACAGGCACTCCTGAGCCCATGGAGTGGACACGCCTATCAGTGTGCCCTGTCCAGCCTGTCCCGGAGATGGAGCCTCTCACCAGCCTCCCGCCGGGAGAGCTACCATGGCTGCTGTGTCCAGGACATGTTCCGGCCTCCGTGAGCGCTGGCAGACTGACTCCTGTCCCTGACCCAAGCCCCCGTGCAGGTTACTGCCCCCTCCCTTGGTCACAACCTCCGCCCTTCTTCGCCCGATGCCTCTAGCACCTCCTGCCATTTCTCTCAGGCCCCTTCCATCCCTCCCTGCCTCGATGCCGGTGATTATAATAAAAGCTGTTATTCTGGAGCGTTTACTACATGCGCTAAGTTGTGTTGAGTTGGCCTTCCCGCACATAGCCTGTGTAGGACCCAGAGGCTGAGCTAGGCCCTGTAAGTATCCCCATTCAACAGGCCAGAGCACGGAGGTCAGGCAGCTCGAGCGACTTGCTTGTAGCCCAGGAGACAAAGTGGCAGTGCTGCAATTCAACTCAGGTCTGACTCCTTCATGGGTCTTGCAAACCCACGCATTCACACCCTCTTTTCCCCGCCTTTCGGGCTGAATATGTAACCATCTCGTCGCGCCCCCTCCAACTTCAGGCATATCTAGGCATATCCCTTGTACTGGAGAGACGCTGGGGGCTGTGGGATGGACTTAACCCGCTGGGATGGGGTGCCCTCTGCTCGCCGTGAAAATTGTTTCCAAGAATTGGCTCGGCCTTCTGGCGCTGGGACCGCACTTGAAGCCCTAAACCTTTCTGCTCCGCGTCCCCGCTGACCATCACCAACGCGCGCGCCTGGAAACTATGGCTCTGGTGCCGCAGGGTCCTGCCCACGGAGTGCGTTGGCTCAGCGCCATGCGCGCGGACCGGGAGATACTGTGCGCCCCCGGGGAGCCGTGTGCAACGTGTGGGGGAAAGCAGCATTTCTATAAAAGGCAGGCCGTGTGCACGCGCAGGCTCGGTGGGCAAAAAGTTCACCAGCGCCGACTACTTTAAGCTTGAGGGAGGGCGGTGCCACGGGAGAGCAGCACCTTGGGAGGGCAGTACCTTAGAGGGCGGAGCCTCAGGAGGGCAGGGCCGGGCCTCTGAGGGCAATGCGGTGGGAGTGAGCCAGCTTCCAGCTGAAGAATCTGAATCCGCCCCTGCCCCACCCCAACGCAAGACCTGGCTCCATCTCCACAGGGCAGGTGAGACTGAAGAGGGAGTGCCCCAGGCGACAAAGGCCAGCAGCATCGCCAGGAATCTGCAGTCTTTGCTGGTGGGGCCCTGCTCCTACCTGGGCTGCCCTTCCTCTCTGCAGGCCTCTTCTCTCCACCAGTGTAATGGGTCACCCCATTCTTGAAACACTTCCTGACATCTGTCCCCATGAAACCTGACCTGCTCTCCCCATCAGCCCTTGTCAACAGCCACCTCCACTCCTTCACGCCTCACTCTGGCCTGTCCTACTGTCCGCAAGGGTCCTTCCATGGCCTAATCTTGAAGTCACTGCAGGCCTGCTTCGGATAACACAGCAGCCCCTTTCCAGGCACAGCTCCAGTGTCCCCACACACCAGTGTCTCCACTCTCATCTTTCATTTCCAGGGAAAGCAAGCAGGGCACACTGACAAGAACTTTATTTACACAGGACACCAGAAGGCTGAGGCGGCGGCATGCGGATGCGGTTACTATCTGTGGTCTGAGAGACAAAACTAGGTATAAGTACAGACAAGGAGCTGAGAAGGGGACTGAGACAGAATAGGGCACATGAGAGGGGTTTAGTGTGGCAGCACCAGTCCTTGGAGCCTCCAGCCACGGGTGAGGCTGTGTGGGCCTGGCAAAAAAAGGCCAGCTGCATCCATCTGTCTGTCCGTTCCAGGAGACTGGGCTGCTCGTGTGTAGACTCCCCGCACCCTCTGTTGGGTGTGTACCCAGCCACCTGGCCATCCCCCTCAGCTCTGAGCCTGTCACTGGGTTAGTTGGCCAAGTCCCTCTACAACTGTTTCCATTCCTGAGACCTCAGTTGTATGGAGCACCTTACAGGCCAATACTGGGCATTGTGTTCACAACCTTCCACCACGTCAGGATCTTCTTAACAACCCAGTGCCAACCCAAGTGTGACTGAGGGCTTGGGGAGCATGACATCTGGGTGTGTCTTCTGCCTGCCAGGGCCCTCACCTGGCAACCTGACCCAGAAGTTCCAGGGGCACCAAGAAGGGGTTCAAGGGGCAGACCCCAGCTGCTTGCCAGACTGATCTTGGTTCGCTGGTCTCTGTGTTCTCAGGGGCCTGGGGGGAGGCCGGGGTGGGCTCCTTATGTTCCCTGGAGCCAGTGCCCCCATCCTCAGTCCCAGGTCCCAGGCTCCCCTCAGCAGCACTGGGCTGGGGGGCCGTCAGGTGTAGGTATGCTTCAGTCATATGTTTGGCCAGGGCTGTGCACGGCAGTTGGGTCAGGTTCTCCGGGAGGGACAAGAGCAGGTCAAGGACCACAGATGACTCTGCGGAAGGAAGGAGAGAGCTAGAGGGGGCAGGGCTTGCCACCCGGGACCCACTCCCAGGGCCCTGCCCCCACATTCCTCACCAGCTGCAGACAGCTCAGGTCCTGGGCCACTTCGCGAAAGGGATGCCAGGTACTTGTAGATCTTCTCAAAGTCCACGGTGAAGTCTCCCTCGGAGGAGGGGCCAGCTGGGGGCTCAGCAGGGGTCTCAGGGGCAGGGACCACAGGGGCTCCAGGGGTGTTGGGAGCAGGGGCCTCAGAGTCAGATACTTCCTGCCCCTTGGCGGTGTGGAGGAGTGGCATCTTTCCATGAGCTTTCGTGGGCTTCGAAGGCTGGGAGTACAGGAGGCTGAGCGGCTCTGTGGCCGCGATGGTGAACACCTGTCAGGCACAGATAGGAGAGCAGGCTGCAGAAGTTACCCCACCTTCGTCCTATCACCAAACCCTCTTTGCTAACCAGAGGAAGACCTCGGATGGGCAAACTGAGGCTCAAGGTGTCCAGCGACAGGCCAGGGTCACAGATCTGGACTAACTGGTTTGGACTGAGGTGTGTCCCCTGCCCCCAGGATCTCCAGCCTACCTGGGGGAGGCTATACCTGGGAGAAGGCAGCTGTTAAGGCTTCCTCCAGCGGGCCTGTTACCTTCTCAGCCAGCTGTGTCCACACCTGGAGGGCCAATGGGAAAGGACATGGTCAGCCCAGGGCGCAGCCTTCGAGGTGTCCCTTGCTTGCCCCTCCTGGAGATTCCCTGATTAGATTATCCCCTAACTCCCAACCTGACCCCTAGGGAGCCTCACCCTGCCACCTGGCTCACCTCTATAGGGGCTGGGGGCTGGAGTTGTTCATGCGGGTCACCTGGATGCAACCTCTGAATGGCCTCCCGTGTCACTCGGCCCTTGAGCTGCCGGAGGAAGTGCCGGATCTGGAGAGGAGAGAGGTAGCGGCTGAACGGCCTTCTACATGCCCAGGGTTGGTGGAGAAAAGCCAAAGCCTGTTGCCTGCTCAGGTGACTTCATAGCCCAGCCCTGCCTCAAACAAGTCTTTCTCCACCCCTAGAGCACTCACAGCTCCCTAGCCTCCCGCCAGCCCAGTGTTTACAACCAAGGACCTAGATCCAGATCAGCTACATCATCAAAGGCCCAGGGCGGCTCTGGCTCCTGTCCACAGCCAGGCCCCGCCCTCACGCTAAATATCATCCTCCTATCTCAGCCCCTCAGTCTCACCCACCTCTTGACCACGCCCCATCCCTCAGCCTCCGCGAGCCCTGCCGCTCCGCCCACTCCTTACTTAGGAGCTCATCCCACCCCTAAACTTGCGAATGCCGGGCTCCTCAGCCTCATGCACAATGGCCCCAGCTTGGCACCAGCCCAGTCCCTTAGTCTCTCCCTTGCTCCGCCCATCAGCCTCCCGCAAGCAGCCTTGCACTAGCTCCGCCCCACTATCGTATTAACCCCGCCCCAGTCTTACTCCCGAGCAGGCTCCGCCCCGCCTCCAGCTTCACGCAAGTCCCGCCCCATCTTTTCTCCTGAGTTCGACCCGCCCCTAGCTTCGGTCCAGCTCAGCCAAACCTCGCGTAAACTTCTCTCGCGGCACTACCCCTGAGCCGCACCATAGGCCCTCCCGGCCTCCGTTGTCCCGTCCTGCCCCTCGTCCTGCCCCGGCTCCCGTCCCCTCCCCTCACCTGGTCCTCGCTGCGGCCCGGTAACCCCTGGGCCAGCTCTGCAGCGCTCGGCTCCGGCTGGCCCCGCCGCTCTTGCAGTAGTCGCAGCAGCTGCCGCTTCTCGCGGATGCTCCAGGCTACGGGGCCTGTCACCACGCCAAGGTAGCGCGCCGGAGCCTTTCTCCGCCGCTGGGGGGGCTTCATGCTGGTCACACGGCGTGAACGTCCTGCGGTCGCTTTTTTGGGGGGGGGCGGAGCTACGGAGGCTGCCGGAACCAGAAACCACCGCGCAGAGGCGGGCGCAGGCAGATAGGGGCGTGGCTCCACGCTTTCACACACTGGGGAGCCGTGGCGAATGGGAAATCGTGTGCAGACTGGCGCTGGAGCAAGGGCTAAGGCCAGCAGAGAGCCTGTCCCATGTTATCTCCTTCCCAATTTAAAGTGTGAACTGAAGTTGAGAACTTGGACTTTTGTGAAACTCTACTGTGTGCTTTAAGGAGCCCTGGTGGCGCACCGGTTAAGAGCTTGGTTATCAACGGTTCTAACCCTGGGGTTCTGTGGGATTAAGACCTGGCGATCTGCTTCCATAGATATTACAGCCAAGAAAATCCTATGATACAGTTTTACTCTGTCACATTGGGTCGCTATGCGTTAATGGCACTTAACAACTGTGTGCTTTGCTTTGTGCAGACGGGTAGGCCTCGGGCAAAAGGCACTTGTGGCTTAGATCCTGAGCTGTGCAGTGGAACAGCGTTGGGGAACTTGGGCAAATGATTTGGCCTCGGTGCATCTGTTACCTCATCTGTAAGATAGGGCTAGGAGTCCCGCTTACTCTTGCACAGGGAAAGGTGGTGATTTAAGGAGCTCGAGAGACAATCTAGGAGCAGGGCAGGAGGTGGAGGCCTGAGGAGTGGAAAACAGAAGGCCTGGCTTTCAGAGGATCGAGCAAGGCAGTGCGACCCGTGTGCGGGTAGCTGGTAGGGCTGGGGGTTACTTTGTTTGGGATGAAATGCCTGTGGATCTCCCCTGGTCCCTCTGTACCCACCAGCTGCCATCGACTCAATTGCAACTGCTAGCGATCCTATAGAATTGCTGTCGTCAGGTGCCGTTAAGTCAGTTTTGACTCATAGCAACCTTATGTACGATAGAATGAAACACTGCTCAGCCCTGTGCCACCCTCATCATCGTCATGCTTGAGCCCATCATCCCAGCCACGGTGGGTATTGTCCTATTGAGGATCCTACCCTCTTTCCGCTGACTCTCAGCTGCAGAAAGACCTCTTTCAAGTGTTAAAGAGCAAAGATGTCACTTTGAAGACTAAAACCAAAACCATAGTATTTTTTTCAGTAGCCTCATATGCATGTGAAAGCTGCACAGTGAATAAGGAAGACCACAAAAGAACATGTATTTGAATTGTGGTGTTGGCAAAGAATATTGAATGTACCATGAACTGCTAGAAGAACGAACAAATCTGTCTTGGAGGAAGTACAGCCAGAATGTTCCTTAGAAGCAAGAATGGCCAGACTTTGTTTCTTATACTTTGGTCGTGTGTCAGAAGGGACCAGTCCCTGGAGAAGGAAATCATGCTGTAAAGTAGAAGACCATCTTATAAGGTAGAATAGTATTTTTCCAAGGCTGTGAATTGTTAGGGAAGCTGACTGCCACATCTTTCTCCCCTGAAGGGGTTTGTGGGTTTGAACCGTGGACCTCCTGGTTAGCAGCCAGGGCTTTAAACCCCTGTGCCACCAGGGCTTCTTCCTCTAAACACACATTGTATGTATATCTGCCTACACCCCAGCACCCCTCCAGCCCAGTCCTGCTCCTCCAGACCCTACTTCCCAGCCTAGAATCCTCCCAGTCCCAGCCTTCCCTTCCTGCCCCACACCCTGGCGCGTGTACACAGACTTCAGGACTCAGCAGATCAGTTCAGAGGTTTGTTTTGTGCCCAGGTAGGAGGGAAGGAGGGGGAGCAGCGCAGAGGTGGTGGTCTCATCCCACTGAGGCTGAGGGCAGTGAATCTGGTCCTCCTGGGAGGAACAGGAAGAGGTGGATGAGGCTGAGGGAAAGAGGGGACTCTTCTCAGGCCACTACCTTCCCGGGTAGCCACTGAATTCCCCAGTCAGTCTGTGAGCTGGGTGGGGATGGTGACTGAGTGACTCCTGAATTCTCCCCAGTCCTGGGTTTGAGGACCCCTTTCCCAGGAGCTGGGAGTCTGCCCTGGGTGACCCACTGCATGGGTTGGAATCCCAGCTCCATGTGTTGTGACCTTTGACAAGTTAGTTCATTTCAGAGAGTGCCTCAGCTTTCTCATCTATAAAATGGGGTTATAATGGTATCCACCTAAAGGTTGTTATGGTGATTAAATTATTATGTGTAAAACACTTCAAACAGTGCCTGGCACAGAGTAAGTGGTATTGAGAGATGATCAACCAACCCCTTTTTCCAGCTCCTCTACCACCCCCCCAACACACACACACACACACATACACACACACTTACCTGCCTCATTGGGTCCTCCTGGGTTGGAGGCTGCTGGGCGAGGCTCCCATGGATGGTCCGGGGGGTGGGGGCGCTGGAAGGGAGAGCTAGCAGCTGAGGAGCAGGGATTGTGGCACCATAGGCTGAGGTAAGGACTCCCCCTGAGGGCTGCGGCAGGCGTAGCGGGGGCAAGTCTGGGGACAGTCTGCCCTACCACTGGGATCACTGGGACCCAGGAGGACGCCCCAGCACGCAGGGGTCGGTACCTGAATGCACGCAGACGAGGCCGAGCCCGGCGGCCAGTGCAGCGCCCAGTACGAAGGCTGCTAACACCAGTGCCACCACCAGCGCGGGTTCCAGGGCAGCGGTGGCTGGCGCGGCAGGCTCAGGGCGCATGGTCCTACCTGGGATGCTCTTGGGCGGCCCTGTGGGGAATGGCACACTGAAACTAGGCCTGGGACCCAGCCGTCCACCCCATTTTCCTTTCTCGGCCCCAAGGCCCCCTGCGGAGCAGGGCTGTGCGCTCACGTGGAGGCAGCCGCGGTACGGTGACCACGATGGGCTGCGTCAGTGTGTGCAGGTGGGGGCTGTTGGCGCCCAGGCTCTCACTGAAGCCTCTGCCGGCGCCCGCGCACGCCTCACCTTGAGGGAGACACTGGGGAATGTGGGAGGGAAGAGGGACGTCAGGGGCCAGGGACACAAGCTCTGGAGAGACCGACGCGTCCAGTTTTCTACCCTGCCACAAGTCCCACTATTAGATCCCTGGCAGTCCAGCCCCTTGAGGATACCTGAGTCCAGCCCCTAAGATACACAAGCGGCCCAACTCTGGAGGAGACCTGATGTGCAGCCAGCCCCTCAAGGGGGCAGGCCACACCACCTCCACTCTCCAGGCCCCTCATCTTCTTTGAAGCCCAGCATTAGTGCCCAGGATTCTGGCCCTCCGCAGCCCCCTGCAGATATCTAGCTTCCCAGACCTGGAGGGACCCCAGAGTGTATCTGATGTCCACGGGTCCCCTGAGCAAACCTTGTGCCAAGCCTCCTGGGGATCCTCGCATACAGCACCCAGCCTGTGAGAACCCACTGTCTACACCCAGGCCCCCAAGCGCCCCATCTCCAGATCCCTAAACTCTATGGGCTTTTCCCCAAGCTTCTGAGACCCATCCCACCCCCAAGGGCCCAGGCACCCCAACTCCCAGCCCGGTGCTCGCGCACAGGCGATGGCTGTGTCAGAGGATCAGACCCGCGGACTCCCCGGAGTCGGCGGCAGCGGCTCAGCTGACAGTGCAGGAACTGCACAGAGGCGTTGAAGACCGGGCGCAGGCGGAAGCTGAAGCGCACAGGACGGTCGGCACCGAGGGGCGGCGGCGGGAAGAGGACGGAGGTGTCGGCGGAACAGCCCCCGCGCAGCAGCACCAGGGCATGGCCCGGGCCAGGGCGTGAGGACGGGGTCACTGAGCAGCTATGTAGGGCCAGGCCCCAGCGCGGGGAGGGACGGGCCAGGGCCGCCTAGGGGGAAGGGGCGCCATTAGGCCTGGCCTCCCACACCCCTCCCCACGCGCTCCCCCTCCCCCTCGTGGCTGCACCTGCACGAACACGCGGCTGTCAGCTGGCACCGCCAGCGGCCCTGCTCGCCGGGGGAAGGTGTCCTCCACATCCGACAGCTCCAGGCTGAAAAGGGGTCGGCGCAACCAGGGCCCAGGTGCATCTGGGAACCGGGGTGCTGGCAGAGGGAGAGAGTGCCACACAGGGAGGGCGTGCTGCCCCTGAGGCCTTCTGGACAAGTGACCCAGTGTTGTGACAGTGCACTTGCTGTGCTCAGCTGAGGCGCCAGATCGGTAAGAGTGACAGTTACTCCGTACTCCCTGGCTACAGAGCAGCTGGACCTGAGTACAAAACTGTGTGCTGCTGCTTCCCTGACCTGGGCTTCTCCACCTGCAAAATGGGTGAGGGGACACCTGGCCAGAGAAGGGGTGTGGTCAGAGGCCGCCTTCTGGGCACTATGCTGCCTGGGAGGTCCTCCGGGGGGAGGGGCTCCTCTAGGGCTGCAGCAGAGGTCTAGGGGTCCAGGGGGTTGCTAACCAGGTCTACTCTTTCTCAAGTAGATACTGTCACCAATGGGCATGGGGAAAAGGAAGCTGTCCCCACCACCTCAGTCCTGGGCACAGCCATAGCCCGGCCAGGCCACCAAGCACTGGGGTTTTACTGTTTATCCAGGCTCCTATACCCTCAGATGCCTAAGGGAAGGGACCAAACTGATGGCAGTGACAATGAAATATGGAGGCAGGGGGAGCCCCAGTGTGACCCTGCACTCTAAGGGCCTGGGCACACATCCAGATGCCTGCCGGCACCCTGCCCTTGGACACTGGATGTTCAACTCTTGAGTCGTCGCCCACTCATCCCCCAAGAGCAGCTGCCCAGCCTGGTCACTTTCCCTGCCTGGGCCCCCACTGTGGGTGCTGGAGTCTTTCAGTAAGTGGGGGCCCACGCCAACCTGGGGACTGGGCACAGAAACGGAGTCCCCTCACCTCCCCATGCCGAGTTGGAGGATGAGAGTTGTCACAAGAGGAAGGGCAGCCAGGGGTAGGGGTGGGACGGGCCCAGGAGCCCCAGCCCATACCTACCTGGCAGCTCACTGGGCAGAGTGGTCCCCTGGAGCAGGGCCAGCAGCAGGAGCACAGGACCCAGCATGCTGCACAGTGGGGCTGGAGTGTGTGAAGCCAGCAGCAGAGGCTCTGACCAGGGCAACACTCGGGCCTACCAGGTGGGCAGGTGGCCCTGGCCTTGGCTGGATGGCGACTGGGCGGCAGAGGCGGGGGTGGTGGGTTGAGGGGACATTGGAGCCGGAGCCCAAGGCCAATCAGGGATTAAGGGTGCCTTTCCTGGCAGACCTGTGGCTATGGGGAGGGAGAGCTGCTCATACAAGTCGGTTCTGACTGACGGTGACTCCGTGTGTGCCAAGTACACCGTGCTCCATGGGATTTTTAAAACTGTGACCTTTGGTAACAAGACTGCCAGGCACAGCTGGGTGGATTCGAACTGCCTACCTTTCAGTTAGAAGTTGATCCCTTCTGTGCCATCCAGGGACTGCCCGCCCCATCAGCCACTTGATATCGGGCATGTCATGACAAACCTCACCTTTCCAGCCCCCGTTTACCTTCAATGGAATGGCCATCCTCCACCCGTGACCAAGGGTGCTCCACCAGGCCCCCTGCACCCCATCACTCTCAGGTCTGGGCTCCAGGCCCCTTCCCCGCTCTTGTTGCTAGGCCTAACCAGGCTCCCAGACCAGCACACAGCACCACTCAGTGGAGGAAAAGGATGGGTTTATTCTCAAGCGTCGAAAGGTTTACAAACAAGGGCGTTTGTTTTAAAAAGGGTCAGGGCAATACTTGGTGGCCTGAGAAGGGGGTGGGGGCTGCTGGGCCGGGCCGGGCCCCCCCAACCCGGCCCACCCTCCGCCCAGTCAGGAGGGACGGCTGGTGACCAAGGGGAAGACGGGAGAGGCAGGGAGGTAGGAGCGGGAGGCCCCCCAGGGCTCCTGCTTAACACTGAGGGGGGGGGGCGGAGGACACACACTCACAAAACAGAAAATAAAGTTAAATAAAAACCAAACCAGGCAGCTCAGCCTCCAGCCTGTGCTGACCCAAGAGTAGCCAGCAACCGGCTGCACCCCCCAGAGGGCCCAGTGGCTGGGCCCAGCAGGGGTGGGCAAGGGCCAGGCCTAAGATCCCTGTCCCCTCACAAAGGGGACGCCGGGCAGCCCCACCCCCAGAAGGCGGCCTTCTGCCTGGGGGCAGAGAGAAGCCGACTTGTATTACTTTTTAAATACGCGGCGGTGTGAGTTCGAGTAAGGATACGAGGACACAGTGGCCCACACTACTTCAGTAACAGCCAGCGGCTCCCCACCTTTGGCGGTGGGTGGATTTTGTGGTTTTTTTTTTTTTGTTTCATCGTTTTTTTGTCCGCTTGATTTGCATGCATCACCAACAAAAATGATATACTCCCCCCCCCTCCAGCTGCAGTGGGCCTGGGCCCTGGACCCTGGGCCCCCGGGTAAGTCAGGGGCTGGCCAGCTCTGGGTGAGTTGAGGGACACTCAGGGGCACTCTAGGGGCACAGCCACCTCTGCCACCCTTACCTTGACACCTGGCCTCTGCTTGTTCAGCATTCCCACCTCTATTCCTGTCACACATCCTTGACCCTCCACATCCACTCTGCGCCCTCCACCCTGGGCTCCACTTCTGCCACCGCCTCCATCCAGCGACTTCCTGCCACACCAGCTCACTGCCCTCCTCTCTCATGTGCACCTTCCCCGAGACTGTCCTATGTGGCCACCGCCCCCCAGGCTCCCTCTGCCCTGCCCTGAGGTCTTCAACTCACCCTAACCTGTGGCCAGACTCCAGCCCCACCAAAGGGTGGCCCCTAGGGAGGAGGAGCCAGCCCCCATCAACCGCACCCCTAAGACAGGACTGACAGGGGCAGCAGCCTAGGCTCCCAGCCCACTGTACCCGCGTGGATGGGGGCCATACCAAAAGCAGCTCAACACGACTTTGGTAAAGTTTCTGAAGGTTCCAACAACCCCAGGAGAACGCGATCTCCTTCTCCCCTCCTCCCAAACACCCCACCACGTACAATACAATACAATAAACTCCAAAAAGGACCCCCTGAGATCAAAGAGAGAAAGACCCAGTCCCGGCCTGGCGGCGGTCCCAATGTCCAGGCCACCTCGCTGGGGTGAAGCCACTGGTGACCACAGAGACCCTGGTGGACCTGGGGTCAGACAGTGCCTCTACCACGCCCTCTGCCCTTCCAGCCAGCTGAATCCAGGCCTGGCCAGGAGAGAGGCAGACACAGGGAGGGAGAAGGGAAAAAGCCACATGACAGAAAGGGAGATGGTGACACGTGTGCTGGACAGAGGCAAAGGGACAGCAGGGGGTGTGGGACACAGCTCTCTCCTGGGCTCCGGGCCACCCCAGCCCAGAGATTACAGCTGAATAAGCAGCAAGTCTGAGCGTGGCCTGCTGTCTTCCATTCACAGTGTCTGTCGGGGACTTGCTTTGCCAGCTGGCCCTGGGGGCTGGAGGGGCTGGGGCCTGGGGACCCATCTGTCCGTGTCTGCTGGGCAGGAAGCTGGGGGTGGTACCCCCTACTTTCTGTCCTCAGCGCTCAGTGGCCTCCGGGTCCCAGGTCTCCCCTGGCAGGCAGCTGGGTGGCCAGGTGGGTAAGGGGGGCCTGTGGCCATGCCCCTGGCCCACGGCGGGGCTGGCCGCTGCCTCGCGGCTACCTGAAGAAGGGCAGCTGGTGTTGGCTCAGGACTCCACTAGTCCGCGGTGACTCAGTCTTCGCCATGACGTCCTTGAACCAGGATGCCACGTCCACTTCCAACATCTCATAGTGCTTTATGAAGCTGTGTTCCTGTGGGCCCGAGGGGTGGGCTCAGCATAAGGGACTTCCCTTTGGGGACCCTGGGGGATCCAAAGGGGACAGGAGAGTGGATCGGAGGTGGGGGAGGTACTCACAAGTAGCTTATTATACTTTGGTCTCTTCCTGTGATCTTTAGTAAGGCTGGAGGGAGGAGATGGACAGAGGTGGTGGTAAGAGCCCTGAGAGAGCCTGCCCACCTCCACCTGCCTGGTCCATCCGCCCTGGGAGCCAGGGGCCCTCCAGGCCTGCGGGAGGAGGCCTGAGATAACATGTGGGCCCTGTCGTCGTGTACAACCTGAAGCCTCCTGGCTGAGGGTGGGGTGAAGGATGCCCCTCCCAGGTGCTCCGCCTACCAAAAGGGCACCAAGGGCTGCACTGCAGACTGGCAGGAGCCTGCAGTCAGGCCTTCAGCCTGCGACCAGAAAGGGAACCAGGGTCTGAGGCCCCTCATGAGTGGGAAGGCACTGCTCGGGGTGAGGGGAGACACTGCCAGGAGCGAGGTGCACACAGAGTGCTGCCTGGGCACAACCCTGTTAACCTGGGGCATTGCTGCTTGTCACAGGCTACCAACACGAAGGCCACCATGCCCAACACCGTGGGCCCCGCCACCCCTCAGGCCAGGTCCACACCCTACTCCTAGCTCCCGCCCACCCATAGCCATCCGACCCTGCCTGAGGTGGCCCTCCTCCATTCCCTTCCTGCCCTGGCCCACCCTGCAGCCCCTCCCTGGCTTCTGCTCACCCCTAGTGCTGAGGAGCGGGCTGGGTGCTCACCAGTCTTTGACGAAGGACTGGAAGTCCCCTGAGAAGCCCATGTGGCCAGGCAGGAGGGGGGGCTCTTCCTGGAGGACTTTGGTGAGGACTTCAAAGTCTGTCTTGCAGTTCTTGTAGGGAAACTGTCCTGTGGCCAGCTCCACCTGGGGGAGAGCCCAGGGTGGGTGTGCGCCTGCCCTCCCCCCAATAAGACACTCCTGTGCCCAGTTGCACAGGCAAGGCCCCACTCACCAGTGAGATGCCCAGGCTCCACACATCGGCCCGGATGTCATAGTCCGGCTTGGTGGGGTCTGGGGGGTCGATGCGTTCAGGCTGAAGGTGGGAGGAGGGGAAGCTGTAATTGACACTGTTTCTGGCCCATGGCCTGCCCACCAGACACCCTGCCCCTACTCACCGCCATGTAGGCAGCGCAACCAGCGCTGCGCGTCTTGGCCTTGGAGTCGACGAGGCGACCGCTGATGCCGAAGTCACAGAGTTTGATCTGGCCCCGTTCGTCCAACAGGATGTTGGAAGGCTTGACATCTCTGTGGATGACACCATGCTTCTCCTTCAGGTAGAAGAGCGCCTTCACGATCTAGGGGGACAGAGAGGGTGCCAGTGACGGGCCACGAGGGGGAACCCTGGGCCTCCACCCCACCCCGACGCTCACCGCCACCGTCATCTTGCCCAGGATGCGCTCGGGGATGGGACCCTGCATCCGCTTCTTAAGCTTCTCTGCGCACGTGCCCATGAGCTCCATGGCGATGAAGACGTCGGTCTGTGAGGCAGCACGCAAGTGGCAGACTGGGGAGGCCCACCCCTGCCTGCCCACCCCCGCCTGCCCACCCCCGCAAGGCTCCGGCTCCCAGGGAGGGGCTGGGGGCTGAAGAGGTTGGGGCACTCGGAGGTGGGCAGGAAGGAGCAGCTCAGGAGAAACAAGGCCAGCTGCTTCCGGAAAGCCTCCCTTCCCTCAACTGGGCATGGCCTGCGGGGCAGGGCTCACGTTGGTGATGAAGGTCCCGAAGCACTGAACTATGTAGGGGCAGTCGTGGCTCTTGAGCACTACGTCCAGGTCCATGAGAATCCGCTTGTTCTCCTCCTTGTTCCCTGAACGCCGCATTTGCTGCACGGGAGCGTGAAGGCCTTAGCTGTGGGCTGTGGGCTCTGGGCTCTGGGCCCACACAGGGACACGGGCTGTGGCTCACCTTTACTGCGATGATATGCCCCGTCTTCCGGAAGCGCATCTTCCACACCTGGCCGCATGTGCCACTCCCCATCTCGCCCAGGTTCTCCAGGTCATTGATTTCTGCCTGGTAGCGCTGGCCAGGAGAGCAAGGGCTGGAGGGTCCATTGGACCTCTGCCTGCCCCCCACAATGGGGCCCAGCCCAGTCCACACCCACCACCTGCCCACCCCCACAGTGCCGAGGGAAGATGGGTACCTGGCCCCCGATGGTCAGGTAGCCGGTCTGCTTCATAATCTCCTGCAGCTTCTGATCAATTTCAATGCTGGGG